TTTTCAACAAGTCAAGTATTGAAAGGTCAAATGAACGATAACCAGGTTCAAAAAATCAAAATTTAATTGATCTCCATTCATTATAGATAATTGTTAACCAGATCAAAATACCAAGTGTTCAAAACAAATTAATTTCACGAAGTTCCGTCTTATTCTCATATCAACTGGATATATTTCATACACCACGAATCCCTGGAACATATTTCCTTATAAGTTTTTGAATGAATGAGCAGAAAGCTTTATTTTCCGCTATTCAGCATTCACATAGCTCAACCAACATTCCCACATCCAAACCCTCTCCCCACTCAACCCCAATCCATTCAATCACAGAGAAAAAAGCTGTACATGGATACCAAAATAAAAGGAAATACATTCCACCATATAAAACTGCACAACTGATGTGTATGCCTACACCCCTTCTTCCCCTGACACTGAAAACAAAATACTGTATCAGTAACAATACTGTAATTGCAGCATATGTTGGGGACAAATGTGCCTCAAGATAATTTTATGTCAAGTGCTATCAAGATTGAACAATAATAAAACACGTTAGTCAGTCTGAGACAGAACTGGGATTCCATTTAGGAATTCATAGTTTAAAGGATGAAGCAACATTTCAAGGAATAATTGAATAAACAACTCATTGAAATCAACTTGCAAATATAACTTGGATAAGTGGAATAGTCACAGCTGATAAACTGATTCTGATGACTGATGATGATAATATGAGAAGGAGCTGCTTACATACTACCAATAAAATTTAACCTTCAATAAGTTTTACCATTACAAGTTTACAACCAAAGCAAGAAAGCTAATGTCAAGTATGCTGAAGTGCCAGGATGTTCCTGGTACTGCAATTTTCAGGAGGGGGGAACTACTTTTGCTTCTAGGAATTGTGTACATTACTTTACCTGGCGTGCATGCCCAACAGCATAAGCCAGAATTGCAGCAGTTACTGAACCCAATTTAAAGCACAAGGTCTTCAGCCTGTTTCCAGATAAGGTTTAGTTGAATGAACAATTTTGAGAGAATCTTTGATGAGGAATCATTTAAGGCCAACAGTTTATCTTGATCCTCCATGATTTCAGAAAGGGTCTATTCATTGAATTCCATTTCTTGTAAATAAGTGTAAGTTTTTCAGATTGTTTAAATCCACTTATTTTTTTTCAACCCAAGCCCAGGAAGTTTATATGACAACGCAGAAACAAAACGTCTCTCTGTCGTTCGAACCTCAAGATCGCCGTTAGAATTTTTTTAGTGATCACCTGCAACACTGAGGAAATGACAGAAATTCTTTACAAAAGATCCCAAGTGTCTGTGTGTTTTTTTTTCTTTTTCTCGTTTCCTTCAACTAAAACCCAGCAAAGAACAAGAACTCCCAGAAGTTTTCGATGCTCATTAGTCCAAATAGCCGCTATTCCGCGCATTTCCGCAGCCTTGTGAGAGCATATTTTTCAACAAGACCAGATTCTGGGTTAAAACCTCTCACGAATTCCTCATCTTCGGAACAAAATCCATTAAAAAAAAATTAATAATAATTCTTCACGAGGAAACGTTCCCATGAACAGCAACTCGGCTTCGGGTAAACATTCCGGAAACTATTTCACTTACGTCCAACTCTTTTTGTTTTTGTTTTTTACCCCGAGGAAATTTTTGAGCAAGAAACGAACCTTCCGGGGAACGGTTTTATTTTTTTCGTGAAGAAAAAAGTACCCCGTGGGTCATCTCAACTCTTACATTCTAAAAGCTTTTTTCCACATAATCTTTTCTCGTTTTTTTTTAAACCGGATTTTGTTCCAGTTATCAGTACCTGATCAACTTCAGCCATGATTAATTTCGAGAAAGCTAAACGTTGGGTTTGAACGGCTTCAACTCACGTGGTCACGTAATTGGACCAACGGAAGCATAAACATAATCGTGCCTCGAAGGCTCAAGAATTAGAATCGAAGGAATAAAGCGTGACGAGGAAAAAAAAAAACTTTTTTTCTCATCGAATAATATCCACGAGCAAATTGCACGTTCCTGGGAGAAAATTGCAGATTTTCAGCTCACGAGAAAATTTCCGCCACTACGGTACTGATTCTGAACTCTCTTTTTTTTTCCTAGAACAAAAATCTCATCCTTTTTTTTCAAGCGTCATTTTACAATCGAGACGAATCAGACAAAAATCTACAGTGACACTTCAAGATTTTTTTTTTTACGAATGATTCAGCGTCCTGAATGAAAAAAGCATTTAATCACGAGAAAAAGAAAAAAGTGAAACGGTGTGTGTTTTCTGTTTCCAAGAAAATCGGGCGATTTCGTGAAGCAAGGGAGTTTTTTTTTTTTTTTTGGTCGGAAATCTAATTTTGAGTTCTGAAAAAGCAAGATTTGTTGTCGTATTCATTTCATTGAATTTCATATTTTCTCGGTCAAACGCAAATCGATTTCGAAGGAAAAGTTTTCATGGTTTTCAGAAAATATTTCAAGACAAATAAGGAGTTCCATTTTCGGAAATTTCCCGTGCCCCATTTCGTCCGTATTCACTTCGCTTATAAGCTATATTACTTTCGTGAAAGTAGGCGTTTCATTCGATTTTTCAAATAGCCAAACTATTTTAGAAATTTGAGTTTCAGTCCGAGAATAAAAAAGGTCCTTTTATGCTTCCGTTCTCAGTTTAATCGAAAAATTATTGCAACTTCACGTACAATATTTTCAACACATTGAAGACCACGAAAAGAGGCTTTAAAAAATGAACAGCTCAACATTTAAGAAATGTTGGAAATCTTAAGCACCCTTTTTCCAAAACATCAACTTCATCTCCCATAAATCCTTTCACTGCAGAATTTCTCAGTCTAAAATACTCGCGATTGAGCATGTTTTTTTTTTCAGACGGAAGCAAATCGTCAAAAGTCGAGTGTTTATTTCGAATTTTCAAATCCTACCTAAGATTTTCTCGGATGAAAGTCTCCTTAGTTCAGTCCACCAAAAAAAGGGGGGAAGATTAATATTTCGTCTCTAGATAAGAAGAGAAAATCAGATGGCTAAGACAAAGTGCCTGTTGGGACCAGTTTCTCCTTATAATTATCCACCAGCCACCGGCACCCCCTTCACACGATTTTTCATCCTTTGTCTTACTAGAACATCCTTCATGGTGGTGATTCTTGAGCATGACTCTTCTTTCCAGGGAATATAAGGAAAATTCATACGCAGGTGTTCTTTTGTGCTGACTTATAATTCATAACCACTAATCCTACAGGCAAACCACTCATTCTAGAAATTGACTTATTTGAACAGAGCAAAACCGTAACTGCTCAACCTAAGCTGATTTATTCATGTAAGCCAAACTCATTCAAGATATAGTATGATTGCTATAAAACGTTGTCACGTTATCTTACTCTGCCTAACCTGAACTTATCAAACTAATGTATTCTGGCCTTATTCAAGTATTGTACAATATACCCAACTTACTCAAGTTAATTGAATTTATTAAAGTGAGCCAATGTATTAGTTAATCCAACTTATTCGAGTTAACCAACTTTTTCAAGGTAATCAAATCAGAGAAATTAACTTATTCTACATCCTCAAATCTAACCCAACTAATCCAGACTAACCCAACTCACTTGAATTAACCTAGCCTACACAAACTAAATTTACTTACTTAAACTAACCGAACCAACTCAAATTAACCTAACCAACTCAAGCTAACCGAACCAACTCAAGCTAACCCAACCAACTCAAGCTAACCGAACCAACTCAAGCTAACCGAACCAACTCAAGCTAACCGAACCAACTCAAGCTAACCGAACCAACTCAAGCTAACCGAACCAACTCAAGCTAACCCAACCAACTCAAACTAACCGAACCATCTCAAACTAACCTACTATAATTCACCTAAACTAATTCAACTAACCCAACCCAATCAACTCAATCAAACTAACACAATCAAAGTGCTCAAACTACTCCAAGCTACTCAAAGTGACCTAACATACTTTCACCCAACTTTGAGTAAGCTAACCTTCTCAGAGTAACCTAACCAACTGAACCTAACCTAAACTGCTCAAACTAACCAAACATACTTGAACTAACCTAACCTACTTACCTAGCTTCAAGTACTGAAACTAGGTGGATTAACTTATATTATTCAAATATGCCTAACTTATTCAATTGACCTATTCAATCCAAAATGCATAACAATATCATACATTTTCAAAATAATCCAACCTTTTCAATGTACTCTAACTATTCTAACCTATTTAATTTAGTCAACTATTCTAACCTATTCAATTTAGTCAAATATTCTAACCTGTTCAACATAGTCTAACTATTCTAACCTATTCAATTTGGTCTAACTCATTCAACACAATGCAACACACTCAACATAACCTTGTCAATGCAACATAATCAACATAACCTTGTCCAGTCAACACAACCTAACCTAAACAGCATAAACTGACCTAGTCAACATAACCCAATATAGTCAACATAACCCAATATAGTCAACATAACCCAATATAGTCAACATAACCCAACGTAGTCAACATAACCCAACGTAGTCAACATAACCCAACCTCAACAAATCGAACTAACCTAAAAATACCAATCTAACATGATCTTGAAATATCAACATAACCCAACAATATCACTCAAACTTGACAATATCCACTTAGCCTCACCAAACCTCTTCACCCAAAGGTAACCTACTTTGCCTTGCCAGATCTATACTCTAGAAAACTGAAACAATCAGGTTGAATAACCATGACGAACATTTCCGTGAAGATATTCGGTTGTATAATGGTTCTCAAGAATTTGTTTTAAGCAGAAACTCGGTCAAGCTCTCAAGCAAAAAAAAAAAACTTAAATGAAAGGTTTTCAATTTAAAAACTCGAAAAACACAAGATCTTTTTCAGGTCAGAACTCAGACTCGTGAGGAAAGCTTTTTTTTTTTGTTTACTCCTAGGTTTTGCTCAGCTGCCTTCAATTCAATCATTGTCTCATTGTTCTCTTGCGTTCGTTCTAACCACCATCTTATTACTCCACAAATCCACGCTAACGTCTTTCTTTTCGGAAGTGACCCGTTGATCCATTGAGCCACTTCCTTCCGGCCCCGAGTTCAACGTTACTGATTTCCGCGTCGAGAGTCCTTTTTTTTTTCGTTCGTTCGATAATTCTAGCATAAAAAGAGGAAAAGTTTTTCCTCGATGATTTTAGATTTCAATCCCACGTCGATCGGAACAGTGAATCGATTTCGCAGAATTTTACAGTTCAATTGAACATTCAGAAAAATGTTTCAACTCGATTGCGCAAAAAAGTTCGGAGTTTCCGGATTTCTCGCTCCAAAAATAAAAGGGACAAATTCCGTCAATATTCACGATTATCACGGTGATATTCACAAATAGTTTTACAACAGCTTAATCAGTGATGCAAGAATACATTTTTTTTCGGCTCTAGGTAGAACTTTTAAATAAGAAAAAATATTTTTGATTGAACGTGAAAACGATTCGGGAACGAAACCAAAGCAGGTAAATTCACGATCCAAAACATGTATTCCTCGAGAAATTCCCCGAGCGAATTGTTTCTTTTTTCGAATTTGGCGCATGAGATTTATTTGAATTTTACTGTGGAAAATTCCACAGATCAAAGATAAAAATTTGCGGCAAATGATCATTGTGGAATTATTCTAATTCGTTGCGAAAATGACTATTCACAGCCTCATAAAAAGGCTCGAGTTGAATTTATTTTAAAACGCTAAGACAAATTTTGAAATGAGACTGAAGAAATTCTGTAATTCCGCTAAAAAAATTCTGCGAACCGATTCGCGATCACGAAAATGGAATCATTATATTTCAATAATTACCCCCTAATTAAAAGTGCATGAATTTCCCCCTTCATCAACAAAGGAATTACAGTAAAGCATAAAAAAAGTTGGGGGTACTTCGAAAAAGATAGATTCATTTCGAAATCGCAGCTTCCTTTTGAAAGTAGCAGCCCAAAAGTCCCGGGATTTCAACCACTTCGTCGAAAGGAACCAAAAATAAAAATAAAATACCCAGAATGATTTTGATCCTGATTTCCTTCGACGCGTTCACAATAGACCGGAACTAATCACTTTTTTTCCGTAACAGTTCGCCATCGAGTCCCGTAATCAGAAACGACTATCGAAGACGAAAAATAATAAAAATGCGCGGAAACGAGGGAAATTCCGAGCGTCAAAAAATATCCCACACGAAAAAAAAGGTACATTTTTATTTTTTCTAAGAGACTCATCCTTTGCCGAAAAATGGCGCGCGCGTTTCGACCAACTGTTCCCATATCCTTAAAATTGTCTTCTTTCCTTGAAAGCAAATAAAAAAATACACATTTCCGGGAAAATGAGACAGGAAAGAGAACTTCGAAGGAAGGAAATCGTTTCGGTAACGTTTCACTATCCCAAAGCCGTGGTTCCCATCACATTTTATTTCTGGTTTTCTTTTATACCTCGTGAAATTTGATCGACGATCCACCCACTTTTTTTTTTCTTTTAGGAATTACAAAGTTTCACACGCAAGTCACTTGAAAAATAAAAGAACGGAGCACGGGTTCTAATTTGCCGTTAACTTTACTTGGATTAGGGAGTTGGATTTCAACGGCTTATTCCTGCAACTTACTGATCAATTAATTGAAGGAATTCAAGAAAAATCCGGCGTATCAAATCGCCTTCTCAGTGCGAAAGATCCGCACGCAAAAAAATCGCATTTCATCACTTTGTCGGGCAGAAGAAAAGTGGCTCGTGAAAAACAAAATTGTTTCGCACTGCGAAAATTGTTTGACCTCAAAACACTCAAATTTTTTCACCCTTCGAATTTAAACTCGGAGATTTCATCTAAAAATTGAAGAAAGAAGCCTACAGTTTTTTGTTGTTTTACATTCTTGTCGTTGAAACTTAACCGAAATTAAGAAAGTTGAGAGCAGGAACTTGCAAGAATTACTTCTTCATTTCTTCATCAACTATATTAAATTTAAAGCTAAATGTTCGTGCCATTTCGGCATCGGGATTGTTTGACTCGCTGGAAAGTTTTTGCCATCAATTCCTCGAGAAAATTATATTTCGAGGCTCATAATTATCATATTTTAGCTTCGCAATTTACCGTGAATAAACGTGTCGTTCCTAATGGATGTTTTGGTCGGTATTTATTTTTGCGGATTAAGACGCCTCTGTTCACACGAAGGCATTATCGAATTTGCATTTCAGTTATAGAATTTTTATTCCTTTATTTTCTTTTGTTTAATTTGAAAAGGATCGACGTTTGAGAATTTAAACGTATTTGTGTTTCTACAAATTTTTCGAGATAAGCTCGAACATTTAAAGTAGGTATTGCAAAGAGATTATTTTACGATTCCATATTTTATGTCCCTGAAATGTCCCTTTTTTTTGCTTGAACACATGTGCAGAAAAGTTTATTTGGAACGCTTCAGAGTTTTGAACTTCGTTTTAAAAAATAATATTTAATGCGTTGGAATTTTTCGTAAATGTGTCGTGAAAAACGAGAAAATTATTTTTGAATGACCGAAGAATGTTCTTTCCAACTTTTTAGTTCGCAATTTAGAAACTTCGCAAATTCATCTTTTTCGGCGCACTTACGAAAAGCGAAGGACTTCGTGGAACGCACAGAATCTATTCAAACTTTTCGGAAACGTTAAATAAAGAGTATTGCCTCTTTAAAAAAATGTGATTGAGTTTTCTTTGTTTTTATGAAAAAGTGAAACCAATGAAATTTTTCATGACATCCGCCATTTCGTATATGAACCAGTCGAGAAACGCAGCTAATAATAAAATAATAAATCTTCATTTCTCTCGATGCCATTTTTCCGCAAAATATTTTTTTTGCCAAAAATCAGCATTTATCCACACGATTTTCTCCTTCCACAACGAATCACGAATGGGAGGATAAAAACGAATAGCGTTCGCTTCAAAGCAAGATTTTTTTGGTAGTATTCCACTGAAGAAAACTGGTTGAATTATTTTGGCAAACTCCTCGAGGAAGCGAAATTGTTGAACCGCCAGCTTTTTAATTTTTCGTTCACTGAAATAGCCGAGGCAGAACTTGAAATTCTTTTTCCCACAGGTACTTCGTTTTTCATTTTATTCAACGTTTTTCGTCGGGTCTGGAAATCCAATTCGGCCAGTTTTTAATCTTGACGAAATCATGAATTTTATTCGCTTTTTTTCATTTGAAAATGTTCATGATTCCCAACGGTGCAGAGAAATAATGAAAAAAATAAATATGGGGTGTTGGAAATTCGGATTTATCCGAAAGTCGTTCGCATAATTTATTTCCCTCGGTTTTCACGCCGATCAAGCGATTCAAGTTACGTCGATACCAAGTGCAGTACCTACGAAGAACATCTGCAGAAAATTTGCACGTATTGCTTTTCAACCACTTGACGCAATTCCAAAATGAAATTCCCTTTTTAAAAAAATTTAGAAAACAAAATGGCTACGAAGACCGTCTTCGGGACACGAGCCCCAAGTTTATTTTTTTCAAACAAGCGGTGATTGATTGATTGATCTGAAATCAACCATGTTTCGCAGAGGTGATGAGTTCCACAGACTCGAACTGAAGCAACCCACTTGCAGCAAAATAAGAGCAAGAACCCGACTGATTGACTGATCATCTGCTGAAGACACGATATTTCCGTGAGTGCTTTAAAAAAGCACGTCTTTCCTCTTTTTTTTCATTTAAAAAAAAAGAAAAACATTCCCTTTTTTATACAGCTTTGGAACTTTTCAGCATGAAAAACTATTCATTTCATGGAACAGACCAGCATAATCGTGCGTTTCTCCACACACACAAAAAAAATACATAAAGGGTTGACCAGGGATTTATTGATTTACTTTGATCAAATTCAGAAATTTTAGTAATTTCTCGCGGATTCCTGATCCACTTTCACAATGCAAAATTGAGCAAAAAGCCAATTTATAATTGAAATTACTTCTACAATATCACTAGAAATAATTTTGAACGTTTGCAGCATGACAAATCATTCATTTTGTGAAACTAGACCAGCACAATTCTGCTTTTCTCCACAAAAAAACTCCATCAAGTGATGAATGACAAGGGCATAATTTATTAATTTTAAAGAAAATCAGCAATTTCTCGCGGATTTCTGTGCCACTCTCAGGATACAAAATTGAGCAAAAACGCCAATTTATAATTCAAATAACTTCTAAAATATTCCTAGAAATGGTTTTGAACTTTAGCAGCATGACAAACTATTCATTTCATGAAACAGACCAGCATAATCGTGCGTTTATCCACACAAACACACAAAAAACACATCCATGGATGACGAAGAAATAATTAATTGATTAATTATAAGAAAATCAGCAACTTGAGCGGTCAGTTTTCCCCCGGATTCCTGCGCCACTTCCATATTAAACAATTAAGCAAATTTATATTTCCGATGATTTCTGCAGGATTCTCAGAAACGCATGGGATTTTCACAGAAAACGGCGCCCCCCGTGAAGAAAATGTAAGATTTCAATTGAACCACGAACTGGAGCGAGACTCGAGAAAATCACGAATAAAAAGAGCCAGTCTTTCACACATTTACTTCAATAGTTGAATAAATGGCAGTAGTTTTTATAGAAAACAACTTCAATCGCGAATTCGCATAAACTTTCCGGAACCTGAGTGACACGAGATCGCTTCGAAACTGCTAAAAATATACAAGTCCGGGAATTTTAAAAAATGAATAAAAAAATAAGATCACATCTTTGGAGAAGAAAAAAAAAACCTCTCGTGAAAATTGCGATTAATAAATTAAAATTCTCCGCAAACGCAAAATACGAAACGAATATTTCTCCAGGAACTTTCACATATAAACCTTAACCTCTTTCAATCCACGATTAATTCACCCTACGCAAAAAAAATTATTACGTTGAATCATAATAAATTACCTCGTAATTAAGCTCGATAATTCAACGAATGCCATCAAAAAAATTACTGATAAATTACCAATGAAAAACCAAAAAACCCCGCAGAAACTCTACTCCAATGTGAAGGGGGGAGGGGCAAACAAATCCCAAAAATAAAATCATCAATGTACCCAAATAAAACTCAAAACATCGACACCAACAAAAATAAAATAAAAAATACAGGTGGGAAGCCCGTCATCGACGTTACGCGACACTCGACGACGGAAATCCAATCGCAACGGAATCCCCGTCGCGTTCAACACGAACGTGCCGAGTGACGAAGACGACCAGGAAGGAAAAGACGGGCATTTGCGAAACGCGTTACAAATAATAATAATAATAACAAACAAGGTCGTCGAGAAGAAGACGACGAAGACGACGACCACACGAATAAGGAGACGTATACAAGACGGTGACGAATTGAATAAGTGAATGAATGACTAGAGAATAAACAAAACAACTACTAAAAAAATAAACCCCCAGAAAAATACAGTATGTAGAAAATAAAATAAAATAAAATAGGTAGCAGGAAAACGCCGCGTTGCACAGGCACGCGCATTCGCCGTCACGTCTCGGATCTTTCGTGGGAGGGGGATTGAATTACAAATAAAAATTTGAGAAAAATCCGAAATGGGGAAAACAAAAAAAGAAACACGCAGCTTCCTTCGGATTTGCTACACTGTACCTGCCTTCAAACGTCATTTCATTCCACCATCCATCTCAATTTTATAAATCTCTGACGTTTTAGAAACATAATTGTAGAAAAATGCCCCAATAATTCGACAATACAAAAAAACAACGTTGCAAATAATTGATTCAGTTGACATCTTTCTCCCAAAATTACAGTACATCACGTATTTAATCAGGCTGATTTACGCGTCAATATAATTTGTTAAACAAAACCAGAAAATATTCTCCAAAAGTCAAGAACAGAAGAAATGCGGAATTCAATTCTTTTTTTTTTCGAATACAGAAAAAATTAGAATACAGGAGGCTGAGCTAAAATTTTCGTCACCATATACGCGCAAAATAAACGTCCACGAAAAATGCCCCAATAATTCGACAATATAAATAATAGCGTTGACAATCATTCCCTCACAAATTATAGTAATTCGAATATTTATAAAATTATTAACTCTCCAGGGGACCTCAGACAAAAAAAATCTGCGACTCATAAACATGGCAAATTTTATAATTCGATTTTCTCAGATTTATTCGAGGCGTCGAATCCAACAACATTTTACAGTACTGTACAGTACTATGAATTCGAGAGCGAAAGGAACGGTTCGTTCTTGTTTTAAAAGTACTTCCTGGTACAATTCCGAAGAAAAAATGTCGCACAAAAATTAAAAAAAGGTGATTAAACCTTTCTTCATTCTTGAAACATTCAGGCACAACCAAAATTCACAACCCCGCAAAAAATAGCAGGCCAGAATAACTTAATTAAATTACGCCAAATTCGTGTTCAAAACACTCAAAACGGCTTATTTAATTCCGTAATTTAGATATCTTCCATTTTTTCTCGCCTGTGGATCCAAAAACTCAAAAGATTCAGTTATTAAACAAAAACATTTAAAAAATACAGTCCTCTTTCGTGATCCACGAACATTCGGCTCCCATGGGAACAGGAGTATTTTAAATAATCAAACGCGAACCCGCAACAACTCAGTCGATAATTATCATTCCTCCCTTATTGAATCACAAAACAGATGATAATTTCAAGGACAACCAGCCGACGATTCCATGGATTGTGTCGTTAAGTGTCCGTATCACTCGTCTGGGTTTCAAGCTTGAAAATACTGAACTGTTGAAACTTCCAGAAGGTGTCCGGCTCGGTTGAAAATTACGCGACCAAAAATGGATTTCTAGTACTTTTACAGTACTACTGTAATGTACTACGGTGGGTCCCTGCAGTACGAACGACGTAATTTTCGCTTCAGCGACATTTTTGGGCATATAAAAGTGATTTATTAACGAAATTATTCTCAGGTAACGAAGCTTTTTCAGCTCAGAAGATTCAAAATTTCATCAAATGTCCAATTTAACCTTTAACCGTTTGTCATCGAGAAACAGAGGAAAATGAGCAGAATTTTTCATATGCCCGTCTTCAAAACATTTTCAATTCAGAATCAAGAGCAAGAATTTGAAAAATATCACTTCGATTTCCTTATTGACAATGTTAAACCCTCGATTTTGTACTGAAAAGCAAACTTGAAAAAAAAATATTCTGGCGATTGCTCAGAAAAAAATAGGAAAAAAACATACCATGCATCCTAAAGAAAAAACGTGTTTCATGCTACGAAAATTTTGCAGAACAAAACGCACCCAGGAACGAATTACTGTATTAGCGTTATGCAGAAAGCCAATTACATTTTTTCTCTCGCATCAGCAGTACTGTATAAGAATACAGTAACATCTCGTTACAACAAACATTTGAGGACTTCTGAAAAGGTTTGCTTTACTCCACATTTGTGACAATCAGATTTTCAAAATCAATGACTGGATATAATGTTTACATCAAACCTGCACGTGACCAATTGGATCTTGCTTTTCCAGCAGTCTCAGATTTTTTTTTTTTTTGAAGACTGAGTGATCTTCTGGTATAAAAAAAAATTAGCTTGAATCATGCATTTTATCAGTTGCACGAATGTTCACATGGAGGCATATTTCTTTTTGATCACAGCTTCCATTTATGATTTTATTTTTAAACCTGTCAATCACATTAGGGATAGGAGATTTCAGTTTGTGCCTGCCTCAAATTAGGACATTTTTATCCGGAGAAAACATTCCCGAAAAAAAAGGTTTGTTATCCCGGAATTGCGAAGTTTGTACATTAGGAACTAGTTTGTTTAAATATGGACTCAATTTGCTTCCTGTCGGGACTGGGGAAAAANAAGCCCGTCATCGACGTTACGCGACACTCGACGACGGAAATCCAATCGCAACGGAATCCCCGTCGCGTTCAACACGAACGTGCCGAGTGACGAAGACGACCAGGAAGGAAAAGACGGGCATTTGCGAAACGCGTTACAAATAATAATAATAATAACAAACAAGGTCGTCGAGAAGAAGACGAAGACGACGACGAAGACGACGACCACACGAATAAGGAGACGTATACAAGACGGTGACGAATTGAATAAGTGAATGAATGACTAGAGAATAAACAAAACAACTACTAAAAAAATAAACCCCCAGAAAAATACAGTATGTAGAAAATAAAATAAAATAAAATAGGTAGCAGGAAAACGCCGCGTTGCACAGGCACGCGCATTCGCCGTCACGTCTCGGATCTTTCGTGGGAGGGGGATTGAATTACAAATAAAAATTTGAGAAAAATCCGAAATGGGGAAAACAAAAAAAGAAACACGCAGCTTCCTTCGGATTTGCTACACTGTACCTGCCTTCAAACGTCATTTCATTCCACCATCCATCTCAATTTTATAAATCTCTGACGTTTTAGAAACATAATTGTAGAAAAATGCCCCAATAATTCGACAATACAAAAAAACAACGTTGCAAATAATTGATTCAGTTGACATCTTTCTCCCAAAATTACAGTACATCACGTATTTAATCAGGCTGATTTACGCGTCAATATAATTTGTTAAACAAAACCAGAAAATATTCTCCAAAAGTCAAGAACAGAAGAAATGCGGAATTCAATTATTTTTTTCGAATACAGAAAAAAATTAGAATACAGGAGGCTGAGCTAAAATTTTCTTCACCATATACGCGCAAAATAAACGTCCACGAAAAATGCCCCAATAATTCGAAAATATAAATAATAGCGTTGACAATCATTCCCTCACAAATTATAGTAATTCGAATATTTATAAAATTATTAACTCTCCAGGGGACCTCAGACAAAAAAAAATCTGCGACTCATAAACATGGCAAATTTTATAATTCGATTTTCTCAGATTTATTCGAAGCGTCAAATCCAACAACATTTTACAGTACTGTAAAGTACTATGAATTCGAGAGCGAAACGAACGGTTCGTTCTTGTTTTAAAAGTACTTCCTGGTACAATTCCACAGAAAGAATGTCGCACAAAAATTCAAAAAAAGTGATTAAACCTTTCTTCATTCTTGAAAGATTCAGGCACAAACAAAATTCACATCAACCACGCAAAAAAAGCAGGTCAGAATAACTTCATTAAATTACGCCAAATTCGTGTTCAAAACACTCATAACGGTTTATTTAATTAAGTAATGTAGATATCTTCCATTTTGTCTCGCCTGTGGATCCCAAAACTCAAGAGATTCAATTATTCAACAAAAACATTAAAAAATACAGTCCTCTTTTGTGATCCACGAACATTCGGCTCCCATGGGAACAGGAGTATTTTAAATAATCAAACGCGAACCCGCAACAACTCAGTCGATAATTATCATTCCTCCCTTATTGAATCACAAAACAGATGATAATTTCAAGGACAACCAGCCGACGATTCCATGGATTGTGTTGTTAAGTGTCCGTATCACTCGTCTGGGTTTCAAGCTTGAAAATACTCAACTGTTGAAACTTCCAGAAGGTGTTCGGCTCGGTTGAAAATTACGCGACCAAAAATGGATTTATAGTACTTTTACAGTACTACTGTAATGTACTACGGTGGGTCCCTGCAGTACGAACGACGTAATTTTCGCTTCAGCGACAATTTTTGGGCAGAAAAAAGTTATTTATACAACGAAATTATTCTGACGTAACGAAGCTTTTTCAGCTCAGAAGATTCAAAATTGCATCACATTTCAAATTTAACCTTTGAATTTTTTTCATCGAAAAACACAGGAAAGTGAGCAGAATTTTCCATATGCCTGTCTTCGAAACATTTTAAACTCAGAATCAAGAGCAAGAATTTGGATAAAATCACTTCGATTTCCTTATTAACAATTTTAAACCCTCGATTTTGTACTGAAAAGCAAACTTGAAAAAAAAAATATTCTGGCGATTGCTCAGAAAAAATAGGAAAAAGACATACCATGCATCCTAAAGAAAAAACGTGCTACGAACATTTTGCATAACAAAACGCAAGCAGGAACGAATTATTAGCGTTAGACAGAGAACCAATTAAATTTTTTCTCTCGCATCAGCAGCATAAGAATACAGTAAAATCTCGTTTAAAAAAACATTTGAGGACTTCTGAAAAGGTTTGCTTTACTCCACATTTGTGACAATGAGATTTTCAAAATCAATGACTGGATATAATGTTTACATCAAACCTGCATGTGACCAATTGGATCTTGCTTTTCGAGCAGTCTCAGAATTTTTTTTTTTTTGAAGACTGAATGATCTTCTGGTATAAAAAAAAATTAGCTTGAATCATGCATTTTTTCAGTTGCACAAATGTTCACATGGAGGCATATTTCTTTTTGATCACAGCTTCCATTTATGATTTTATTTTTAAACCTGTCAATCACATTCGGGATAGGAGATTTCAGTTTGTGCCTGCCTCAAATTAGGAATAAAAATAGGCCTCTTTTGTAAGGGCTTTTTTTTCCAAACAATAGGGCCTTAACGCTTCAAACATGTAATCCTTGATCAAACAAATTTATACCTGAGTTAAACGAAGGACAGCCCTGACCCCTTTTTGTTTTACAGAAAAATATTTTTCAAAAATTGTACTGCACATTTGTAGGAATCGGTGGAGTTTGGGAGCATCTGGTCCATTTAAAAATAAGAATAAAAAATCGCTCTCAGTAAAAAAAAAAAAACGAAAAACATCCGTATTTTCTCAGGCCCGATTCTTTCTCACTCTTTTTTTTTCTCTCTCTCATTTTTGTGTTGATCCAGCCTCGTGTTGATCCGTCTGATCCCCCCTGGCAAGTCCTTGCGACAGCCAGCTGTCGACCAAATAACGTTGGGCAACCGAAAACTGTTCGCAAGTTCATACGTGTCGACACTTCGCCAACGTGCTCAATATTCGTCACGACGTCAGCGACAGCCACACGATTTCTTCTCTCTCCCCTCCCCCCTTCTCAACGACGCAAAAAATGCAATTCTCGCTCAAAAGATTTGAAACTAAAAACGCCTTATTTTGGGAGGCGTCTTGGATTCGGACAGAAATGTTTACGCGTGACGTGGAATCGAAGATTTTCGTCTGGGATTCACATTGGGATATATATACTGGGTGAACCCCCCAAGAAGAAAAATAATGATTTGAATTTCAACGAAACCCAGACAGGTACTTACTTGAGCCGTTGAATCTTCAGATTTATTCCCCCTCTTTCACAAGTGATCCTGATTTCACTAATCTACTTAAACGGTCATTTGAAAATTACGCAAGATCTCGCAAACCTTTCAAAGTCTTTTCTGCAATTAATCCTTCCACTGAAAAAAAAAATTAAAACGCTCAACTCGGCAGGTTTCTGAAAATCGAGTCGACGGTAAAAAAAAAAAAAGAATATCTTTTTAACGAATTACTGTTGAAACGAAGACTATTTCCAGGTCCCCGTAAAATAATACAAATGTTGTTCGAATCACTTCTCAACTAATTTATTGTCGAAAAGATACAATTTTCTGGTCAAAACAGGTTCGTTGTAACGAGATTTTCTTGTATATGCCGTTTTTTTTAATCCGACCCATTCTTTGGATGTTATTTGTACTTATATACTGTAATCAGTTTTAAAAACGATGTGTTGATGATGGTTCAATATTCCGACAACTCACCGATGGCACAAGTAGTCGCTTTATTTCGTCAACTGCTCTCTGCAATTTCAGTTTGGCACGATCCTCAGTGTCCTCTGCCGTCAGCAAAACATGCAAATCGTCCTGCAAATGCTCCCAATTCGGTTTGCCCCTGTTCTGGTCCTCCTGCGAAAAATACCACAAAAAATCGTCATTCAATTGAAACTTTAAAAAGCAAATGAAAAATATCGACAATTTTTTCGCACAACTCAACGGAAACGGAAGAAGAAAAAAATTCCTCGCGACAGGCAAACAATAGATGGGAGAGGTTATTTTGAAATAAATGACAAAAAACTTAAAAAAAAAAAAGTAATAATAATCCGGAGACCAGGACGTAGAAAACGAAACGACGACGCCTGTCTCAATTACCCAGGCGTGAGGTGAAGGCTCCCAACCGACACCGACAGGCCCCACGACGACGACGACGTCGTCGTCGTCGTTTCTGACTCTCTATTGCTCCATGCTTCGGCGCCGGAAGAAACCCGGCTGTCATAACCCCTCGCGTGAATTCCCCAACTTTCCGGGTCACAAAGCTGCGGTTTCATTTATATTTTTTATTTTTCGTTAACTTCTTTTCTGAATAGTAATTTTAGAAATTGTGTAATCTCATGCGCCGATAGTGTTGCCAAAATGTTCGCAAAAAACGATTTGGGGAGTCTTCTGCTGAAGAGAATACAGTACTTCAATGAAACCCCCGTGAAGGTTTTTCCTCCTCTAAACTTTTTTTCCGATCTAAAATTAGTCTTCATAGAATCTCCATCTTTTTATTCCTTCGTGATCTTTAGATTTTCTCATCAGTGCTCCGATTTGAACCCACGCATGGATTTGTTTTATTCACTTTTGTCAAGCTTTCGGTGTTCCTCGTAAATTGTGTCATTTCTTAGTCATCAAATTACACATTGAATTGCTCTGAAAAAATAGGAACTTGGCTGAAAACCAGCCGATCAGTTTTTTTATTGTCTACATCATCCATTATTTTGTTGGGTTCTGTCAATGTCCAACAGAGACCAAGAATGCAGATGAAGTCAAAAAATTATCTTGCTCAAGTTTTACTTTTTTTTAATCAATGATCTCAATGTAGATGTCGCCTGCATTTTCATACCGCAATTCGTGCGCTAGTTTAAACAGATTCTTCGTAAATTCGGTGATTTTTTTCTTTCTATTAATGCACAACAGAGAAAAAAGATGTAGATGAAGTCAAAATATCATCTCTCTCACTCAATCCTTTTTTTCCCAAATCAATCATCTTTATGTAGATGTCGCCTGCTTCAGCCACTCATTAAACGCGTGATTAAGTTTGTCTAAGAAGCGTTTGTCCTACTAAAAATTACCCAAAGTAATTACGGTTAGTCTCTTCTCTCTTTCTAACGTCTCTAATTCAGTCTTATGACAATAATACTCGGTCAAGTTTAATAATCTTTAATTAACTGATCTTAATTCAGATGTCGCCTACTTTTTTCATACAGTGATTTGCGCAACAATTCTTCGCAAAAACAGCTATTGGCGGAGTTTTAAAAGGAATGTGAGTCGGGAAACTTAATACTGTACAGTAAGCCCGGCAATTACTTCCCCCAAGACACACGTCTTACCATTAAGACATTTACTTCCTTTCATCCGAAAAATAATAATAATAAAAAATAAGGTGCGAATATTTTCGGGGGGTATCAGGAAGAGGGATCCCCTCCAAAACAACACGGGAGCCACAGCACGAGGGGGTTCGTCACTTCCTCTTCGCATTAATTCTTCGCTTTCACGCACACAGCTTCCTCTCCTGTTTTCTATTTTCTTGCCCCCCTTCATTTTTCATCTTTCTTTTGGGTTGTTTCTTTTTTT